TTTTTTTGAGAGGGAGTCTTGCTCTGTTGCCCAAGCTGGAGTGCAGTGGTACAATCTTGGCTCACTGCAAACTCTGCCCCCTGGGTTCAAGCGATCCTGGTGCCTTAGCCTCCCAAGTAGCTGGGACTACAGGCGCCCACCACCATGCCTGACTAATTTTTGTATTTTTAGTAGAGATGGGGTTTCACTACCTGGTCTCAAACTCCTGACCTCAAGTGATCCACCCGCCTCGGACCAGGCTGGTCTCAAACTCCTGATCTCAAGTGATCCACCTGCCTCAGCCGCCCAAAGTGCACCTGGACACTCTTTGTTTTTCGTTAAAGAACATTAACTAATTAAATATCCAGGTGAAGACATGGCCTTAATTGGTTGAGATTCCTATTTAACCCATCCATGTTGATGAATTAAACCAAATATTAAAATCCCTGATTAAATTATCTACTGAGGGAAATTTATGAGTCATTCTGTTTCAGTGGTTCTCAAACTTTAGTGTGTATGGAAATTACCCGGAGCATCTGCTAAAACAGATTCCTGGGGCCACCCCAGAGTTTTTTATTCAGTAGGTCTGGAGTGGGGCCTAAGAATTTGTTCTAGGTTCCCAGAAATCCACATTTTGAGAACTCCTGCATTTAGTTAATAATATGCTTGATAATTAAGGTCTCTCAGTTCATTAAAAACAGTTTCAGCCCGGAGCGGTGGCTCACGCCTGTAATCCCAACACTTTGGGAGGCCAAGGCGAGCGGATCACCTGAGGTCAGGAGTTCGAGACCAGCCTGGCCAACATGGTGAAACCTCATCTCTACTAAAAATACGAAAGTTAGCTGGTGGTAATGGCATGCACCTGTGATCCCACCTACTTGGGAGGCTGAGAGAGGAGAACTTGTACCCGGGAGGTGGAGGCTACAGTGAGTTGAGATACTGCCCTTGCACTCTAGTCTGGACAATAGAATGAAACTGTCTCAAACAAAAAAAAAGTTTCACCACCAGGCGGGCGCAGTGGCTCATGCCTGTAATTCCAGTAATTTGGGAGACCAAGGCAGGCAGATCACTTGAGATCAGGAGTTTGAGACCAGACTGGTCAACGTAGCAAAACCCCATCTCTACTAAAAATACAAAAATGGCTGGGAGCAGTGGCTCAGGCCTGTGATCCCCACACTTTAGGAGGCCAAGGTGGGCAGAACACCTGAGATCAGGAGTTTGAGACCAGCCCAGCCAACATGGTAAAATCCTGTCTCTACTAAAAATACAAAAATTAGCTGGGTGTGGTGGTGCACGCCTGTAATCCCAGCTACCCGGGAGGCTGAGGCAGGAGAATTGCTTGAACCTAGGAGGTGAAGGTTACACTGAGCCAAGATTGTGCCACTGCACTCCAGTCAAAGTGACAGAGCAAGACTCCGTCCCAAAAAAAAAAAAAAAAAATTAGCCAGGTGTGGTGGTGCATGCGTGTAGTCCCAGCTACTCGGGGAGGCTGAGGCAATTCGCCTGAACACGGGAGGCAGAGGTTGCTGTGAGCCGAGATCGCACCACTGCACTCTAGCCTGGCGACAGAGCGAGACTCAGTCTCAAAAACAAAACAAAACAAAACAAAACAAACAAAACAAAAAACAGTTTCACCAAGAAATTTATCACAGATTTCCTTGGATCTCTCAAACTCCTAATTATATGTCTAGACCCTATCTAAAAAGCTTCACAGTGGATGACACAGAGAGACTGTGAATTGGGGGAGTCCACTGAGTGTCACCTTTGGAGCGGTCCCACTCCTCCCTCAGAGCCGGGTGTTTCAGCCCCCACTAAGCCTGTTCCCTGTAGCATCTAGTCCAGCCTCCTGGATCTCCCTCCTCCCACCCACACTCCTTGGGGTCCTGAGCACACGCCCTGTCACCTGGATAGACCATGATCAAGATGAGCAACAGCATCCAGGCCATGTCGGAAGATGTCCCAGTTGGCGAAGGGGATCTGAGCAGTGAGGTCTGGGTGGAGGAGGGAGGACTCACTACTTGTAGCCAGGCCTTTGGTCACCAGATGGGGATGGGGAGCTTCCTATGACACACGGGACTCACATATCACTTGCTAAGGATCACAACTGCCAGGGACCTCGAGTATCAAATGCATGCCTCCCTGAGGAGAGAGGATGGATGCTGCTGATGGAGATGTCTGGGTCTCTAGGAGGCCAAGGGGCCAGCTTGTGGCAGGCTAGCTAAGCATGTGAGGGAGAGGGTGGGGCTTACATGGCTGCTAACCCAAGGGTGAGTGGGCGGTTGGGCGGGTGAGACCAGGATGTGGGTTCCCCTAACTTCTGAGGTTCAAGAAGACCAGCTTTTACCCAGAACAAGCCTCCAGGAGCCCTCCCTGGGCCAGAAGCTAACCTACTTCCCCTCCCCACTGCTCACCAGTACCCAGACCCATCCCATCCATTCCCTTCCTGGAATCTGGCCTCACTGCACCCCAGGGCTGCTCCAAGATTTCTATGAGGGGTTAGGAGAAGCAAGCTGATTGGTGAAGCTATATTTAATTTGCATAGCAATCACCCTGGGTGTGTGTGTGTGTGTGTGTGTGTGTGTGTGTTTGGTTGGGGGTTTCTTTTGTTTTTTTTGAGATGGAGTCTCACTCTGTCACCCAGGCTGGAATGCAGTGGCATAATCTCGGCTCACTGCAACTTCCGCTTCCCGGGTTCAAGCAATTCTCTGGCCTCAGCCTCCCCAGTAGCTGGGATTACAGGCGCACACCACCAAGCCCGGCTAAATTTTGTATTCTTTGTAGAGAAGGGGTTTTACCATGTTGGCCAGGCTGGTCTCAAACTCCTGATCTCAAGTGATCTGCCAACCTCGTCCTCCCAAAGTGCTGGCATTCCTGTTTTGGTTTTTTGAGACAGAGTCTGGCTGTGTCTCATCCAGGCTGGGTTCAGTGGCGCCATTACAGCTCACTGTAGCCTCGACCTCCTCGACTCAATCAATCCTCCCACTTCAGTCTCTTGAGTAGCTGGGACTACAGGCGCACACCACCACACCAGGCTAATTTTTGTAGTTTTTGTAGAGATGGGGTCTCCTTGTGTTGCCCAGGCCAGTATCCGACTCCTGGGCTCAAACAATCCACCCACCTAGGCCTCCCAAAGTTCATGAGCCACAATGCCTGGCGAAACGTATTTCTTAAACAATGAGATTTGGAAGTCAAAATTACTCCTTAAACCATGGACTACAGGATGGATGTTATGATAGCAGGCATGAAAACAATGTTCAGCCGGGTGCAGTGGCTCATGCCTGTAATCCCAGCACTTTGGGAGGCTGAGGTGGATGGATCACCTGAGGTCAGGAGTTCGAGACAAGCCAGGCCAACATGGCAAAATCCCGTCTCTACTAAAAATACAAAATTAGCTGGGTGTGGTGGGGCGTGCCTGTAGTCCCAGCTACTCGGGAGGCTGAGGCAGGAGAATCACTTGAACCCAGGAGGCGGAAGTTGTGGTGAGCCGAGATTGCACCATTGCACTCCAGCCTGGGCAACAAGAGCGAAACTCTGTCTCAAAAAAAAGAAGAAAACAACATTCATCTCTTTGGACATCTCCATCAGAGCTCTTGGTTAACTATGTACATTTTCAATGAGCAGTAATCATTTTAAAGAAATCTTATATTTCAGAGCAGTAAAACTCAACAGTAGCCTTAAAATACTCAGTAAACCAGCTGGGCACAGTGGCTCACATTTGTAATCCCAGCACTTTGGGAGGCCAAGGTGAGAGGATGGCTTGAGGTCAGGGTTTGAGACCAGCCTGGGCAACATGGCAAGACTCTGTCTCTACAAAAAAATTTAAAATTAGCTGGACATGGTGGCACACGCCTATAGTACCAGTTACTCAGGAAGTTGAGGCAGGAGGATTCCTTGAGCCCAGGAGTTACAAGGATGCAGTGAGCTATGATTTTGCCACTGCATTCCAGCCTGAGCAACGGAGTGAGAACTTGTCTCTAAATAAAATACAATTTAAATTGGGAAGAGTAGTAAACGGAGTTTAAAAGACAAAAAATGTGGCTAGGTATGGTGGGTCACACCTGTAATCCCAGTACTTTGGGAAGCCCAGGTGGACAGATCACTTGAGCTAAAGTGTTGGAGGCCAGGCCAGGCACGGTGGCTCATGCCTGTAATCCCAGCACTTTGGGAGGCTGAGGCCGGCCAATCACGAGTTCAGGAGATTGAGACCATCCTGGCAAACATGGTGAAACCCCGTCTCTACTAAAAATACAAAAAATTAGTTGGGCGTGGTGGTACCTGCCTGTAGTCCCAGCTACTAGGGAGGCTGAGGCAGGAGAATCACTTGAACCCACGAGGCAGAGGTTGCAATGAGCTGAGACTGTGCCACTGAACTCCAGACTGGGTGACACCTGTCTCTTATACACATCTAGATGTGTATAAGAGACAGGTGAAACTCCGTCTCTACTAAAAAATACAAAAAACTAGCCGGGCGAGGTGGCGGGCACCTGTAGTCCCAGCTGCTCGGGAGGTTGAGGCAGAAGAATGGCATAAACCCAGGAGGCGGAGCTTCCAGTGAGCCGAGATCCGGCCACTGCACTCCAGCCTGGGCAACAAAGGGAGATTCCGTCTCAAAAAAAAAACAAAAAAAAATGCACATCTGTGGAACACAATAAAACAAGGTAATACCTCCACAGGGATTAGTACAAGAGTATGTCAGACACTCTTGTATGTGTATCACACAGCTACAGGAGATAATACAGCACATAGAAGGGAAGGATGACATGTGATACGCCACGTGCCCACCCCTTACCACATGCCCCCTTCTGGCTCCTTTTACTATTATATTTTTCAGAGACAAGGGGTCTCACTCTGTCACTCAGGCAGCAATACAGTGGTGTGATCATTGCTCACAGCAGCCTCGACCTTCTGGACTCAAGCAATCCTCCTGCCTTGGCTTCCTAAGTAGCTTGGAATACTGGTAAGTATCATCACACCTGACTTTTTACTTTTATTTATTTTTGAAAGGCAGCATCCTGCTATGTTGTCCAGGTCTCGAACTCCTGGTCTGGCTCCTTTTATTGTATTTATTTATTTATTTATTTATTTATTTATGTATTTTGAGATGGAGTCTTGCTCTTGTTGCCCAGGCTGGAGTGCAATGGCACAATCTCAGCTCACTGTAACCTCCGCCTCCCGGGTTGAAACGATTCTCCTGCCTCAGTCTCCCGAGTAGCTAGGATTACAGACGTGCGCCACCACACCCAGCTAATTTTTGTATTTTTAGTAGAGACTGAGTTTCATCATGTTGGCCAGACTAGTCTTGAACTCCTGACCTCATGATCTGCCCACCTTGGCCTCCCAAAGTGCTGGGATTACAGGTGTGAGCCACCACGCCCGGCCTGGCTCATTTTATGTTAATACATGTTGTTGTTGCTGCTGTCGTTGTTGCGAGACAGAGTCTTGTTCAGTCGCCCAGGCTGGAGTGCAGTGGCACAATCTTGGTTCATTGCAACCTCTGCCTCCCAGGCTCAAGCAATTCACATGCCTCAGCCTCCCGAGTATCTTGGTTCACAGGCGTGTGCCACCACACTCAGCTAACTTTTGTGTTTTTAGTACTGATGGAGTTTCGCCATGTTGGCCAGACTGGTCTCAAACACTTGGCCTTAAGTGATCCACCCACCTTGGCCCCCCAAAGTGCTGGGATTACAGGTATGAGCCACCACGCCCGACCTAATACATGTTTTTTCTCTTTGTGTCTGTGTTTCTAGCTCTGTGTCACAGTCCTTTTGTAGATTGTCCAGTTCCCACCCATCACTGAAGTAATTCAGAGCTTTCTTTTGGAGAAGCAGTCATCTCATGGTTAAGAATGCTGGTTTGGAATGAGCCTGGGTTCAAATGCCAGTTCCCCTGCAATCCCCACAATTATGTTATACAATCTTTTTTTTTTTTTTTTTTTGAGACAGGGTCTCACTCTGTCAACCAGTCTGGAGTGCAGTGGTGTGATCATAGCTCCCCGTAGCCTTGAACTTTGAACTCCTGAATTCAAGTGATCCTCCCACGTCAGCCTCCAGAGTATCTGGGACTACAGACACACATCATCACGTTTGGCTCACTTACTTTTATTTCTTGTACAGACAGGGTCTCACTGTGTTGCCCAGGCTGATCTAAAACTCTTGGCCTAAAGCAATCCTCCCACTTCGGCCTCCCAAAGTGCTGGGATTACAGGTGTGAGCCACTGTGCCCAGTCTAATCTTGAACAAATTATTTGACATCCCTAAGCTACCGGAACAACCACACATGCCACACAACCTGGGAAGGACCAACTCAGCCTTCTCCAGCAGTGATGTGGCCACCGCCCCAGGGATATCTAACTAGAGGATGTGGGACGGAGGCATCATGGCAAGGCCAGGGCTGCCCCCTGGTGGTCACAGAGCATGTGAGGCCCGAGCTACCAATGGTGGCTTTTCTCAACCGGGCCTTGATTCCAGCTTCTGCCGGATCCCCTACCTTGCTTGCCTCCTTCTATCAACACCCCATTCACACCACAAAGCATCAATATGGGAAAAATTGTCTCTACTATCTCAGCTGTGAGAAGACCACGGTTTGGGGAGGGAGAAGAGGTCACCACCAGTGGGGACGTGGAATAGGTAACTGGCCTGAGGATAAAACTCCATTCTTTCGGCCGGGAGCAGTGGCCCACACCTGTTTTCCCAGCACTTTGAGTGGCCGAGGTGGGCAGATCACCTGAGGTCAGCAGTTCGAGACCAGTCTGGCCAACATGATGAATCCCCATCTCTACTAAAAATACAAAACTTAGCCGGACATGGTGGTGCGTGCCTGTAATCCCAGCTACTCGGGTGGCTGAGGCACGAGAATCACTTGAACCCAGGAGGTGGAGGTTGCAGTGAGCCAACATTGTGCCACCGCACTCCAGCCTGGGCAATGAGCAAAACTCCGTCTCGGGAAAACAAAAAACAAAAAAACAAACTCCACTCTTCCACAGTGTACACTCAATCACAAGGTTCTACTCCATGTCCCAGGGCAATGTGGCTTAGAAGACAAATCCAGCCCAAGTTGGAGTCCTGGTGCCACTACTGTAAACTGGGGGTACCACCTGTAAACTTTCAAACTCCATTACCCTAGGTGTTCAATGTGTGGTTCTTCTCCAGTGCTTCGCTAGTCCTGTGCAAGGGTGACAGTGCCATTGCTACACCTGGATTCAAGGGCATCC